ATTCACACACTTTACTTATGGTGCCTACTGTTCGCTTCACTCAATTATATTTATCTTCAATTTGTCTGCCTCTCTATTCTTTATTTGCCGGTCTTGTATACTAAAAAAGAGGGCGTCCCGAACAAACTAGAAAAATCACGATCATTCGAGAAACTCCTCGCTCACGCCAGCAGCGTCACGTGACTTCCGCTGTATTAACACTTCTTTTGAAACGTCGAACTCTCACATGTGCCTCGTTTAATTATGATGATCAGTTCGGTTTTTTCTTTATCTAGCCTCTTATTGTTTCGTACCTTCGTGATTGTTTTTGTCGTTCTTACCTCTAATGCAGTCAACAGTTCTAATGCAATGTAGCTGTAGTTGTTGGCTGTACTGTCACCATGACATTTGTAAGGAATTACTTCAAAGTTCATGTGTACGTTGGCTGTGTTTACACACACACGTCTTATTTGTTTAGCATGAAAGCGTTTTGTGATTTTATTATAATAAATATTTAACGATTGTGATAAACTTAAAATAGAGGAGATAACATAATCATACGTGACAAAGACCGTATTTGCTAACTCTCGATCCAGGATCAGTTGTGAAGATAAAGAACCATCAATTACCGAAACATAAATTCAGTTTTTTTATTGTTTTGGGAGGTGAAGCGGCTAGTTTTGTATTATATATATATAATTTTAATTTTTTTTACATATGCGTGTATAAATACTCTTAAGAAGATCGCTTGAAGAATGACGTAACGTGACGTCAGTTTTTTAGTATTTATTATTTGTAATAACGGTGTTTCTTTCACACAAAATATAATGTGTAAAAATCGACTCGATCTAATTGGTAGATTATTATTATTTACAGTGTTTATTTGTTTTTGTTTTATATTAACATTATTCATATTGTGGTCGGCCTTAAGTAACGTAATAAATATTAAGTCTATTTAGTCATCATATCACTTACATTACTTAAATGATTGAATATATTACCATTTACTGGTACAATAATGAAACCATTTCAACATATTTGTGCATATGTTGTTTCATGGCCAGGTGGTTAAGGCGCTCGACTCGCAATCTGAGGGTCGCGGGTTCGAATCCCCGTCCCACCAAACATGCTCGCCCTTTTAGCCGTGGGGGCGTTATAATGTGACGTCCAATCCCACTATTCGTTGGTAAAAGAGTAGCCCAAGAGTTGGCGGTGGGTGGTGATGACTAGCTGCCTTCCCTCTAGTCTTACACTGCTAAATTAGGGACGGCTAGTGCAGATAACCCTCGTGTAGATTTGCGCGAAATTCAAAACAAACAAACAGTGTTGTTTCATGTCACTCCTACAAGATATTTCTGTTCTTGTCTTCCCTGTCATCATAAGCTAAATTGTTGGAATAAAAAAAGCTGACGACCCTGGCACATTTTAGTGCTGAGTAACATGAAAAGAACTCCGTTTTTTACATTCTTCAAAGCATTTGAAGGTTTCTAAACCATAAAGGTTTTTCACGCCATAAGAAGTCCTCGTAGCTGATCACACGTTGAGTCATGTTTTCCCAAGGTTTGAAATAAAGTAATTAATACGACAAAACACACATGGACCAATAAAATAATCATTAAATGTTTTGTATATTTCATGCACTAATAACGAGAGTAGATACTTATGCAAATTTATCCCCCTGGTGGCTCAGTAATAAGTCTTGGAGCTTATAACTCTAAAAATCGTGTTTCGATACCCACGGTGGGCCTTGCACATAGCCCATTTTTCGACATTATGATTAATAACAAACAACAGCTTATACAAATTAAAGGATGGAAAGCTTCTGTTTTTTTTGTTTTGTTTTTTGTAGAATGTTACCCAACACTTAATGGGGGGGAGGGGGTAACGGGTAGCTTTACTATCACACCAAGTCGGCTATTTTTTATTTTGATAGTGGTTTTGTTCAGCCACAAGTACTGAAGCCTACTTTTAAATCAAATCAAATAAACTGTATTTCTGTGGGTGATTCAAAAGCATGCAGTTTTTCGTTTTGTTATATTGATGTAATCAGTATCTTGTATTGAATTTTCCACTTAATTCAAAAGTTCACAATGTTTTCAGTTTTGGAAACATTACTTTTTAACTCGTACTTATTCTAATGCACTATATTGACCCTAGAATTACAGGTGAGGTCTATTGGTTCCCACCTGTTTTTGAAACACCCTTTTTTAAACTGTTTATTCACCGAATTTCTTGTGGGTCCGTCCGTCTATGACTTTTTGGTTGTAGTGTCCACCAAATCTCTTGTAGGTCCGTGATTTTTTGGTTGTAGTGTCCACCAAATCTCTTGTGGGTCTATGATTTTTTGGTTAGTGTCCACCAAATTTCCTGTGGGTCCATGACTTTTTTTGGTTATAGTGGCCACCAAATTTCCTGTGGGTCCATGACTTTTTTTGGTTATAGTGCCCACCAAATTTCCTGTGGGTCCATGACTTTTTTTGGTTAGCATCCACCAAATTTCTTGTTGGTCCAGGACTATTTTTGGTTATAGTGTCTTGTCTCTAATAACATATGAGTGATCAAAAATAAAACAACAATACAATTACTATTACACTTAATCCTATTAACAATCAATATTACACTTAATCCCATTAACAATTAATATTACACTTAATCCCATTAACAATTAATATTACACTTAATCCCATTAACAATTAATATTACACTTAATCCCATTAACAATTAATATTACACTTAATCCCATTAACAATTAACGTTACACTTAATCCTATTAATTACCGTATATTTCACACATAAAATGAATGATCTCAAGCATTTAATGTTCTTTACGCTGAGTGTATTATCGGATATAAACTAAAATTAATATATGTGGACCCTACTGGTAGTAAACGGTTTAAAATAAATAGTTAATTTGAATGTTAAACAGCTGATGTTTATAATCTGAAATAATATTTTTTTCCATTTTTTTTCAGAACTTGTCAGAGTTTTATACCAACATAGACTGATTAACGTCATGCAGAACATTTGTCTAACGAAATGATGTTTTTCTTGATGAAATGAATATTTATGAAGTTGAAAGCAATCCAAATACGATCTTAAATATCCATAAAGTTAAATCCACTGATTTTATTCTTTTTTGTATGATCATAAGAAAATTCGACTCTTCTCTCTCCAGTTGGTAACCGACACATAACTATGTGCTTTTCACCATGGCAACACAAATAGTACCATTTTCTCGTTCCCATGGTTAAATGAGTAAGTTTAAGTCGTATTATGGCTACTGAAAAAATAGCCTAGGGAACATCGTGAGCGGATCCAGTGAGAGTACTAGTCATTGAAAAATGTGATTAGTTTTAATTTTCGCTCACCCTAGCGTAAGAATATATGTACTTGTAATTGTTTTGTAAAAATCAGTTAATAATATAATATTTGTAGCACTAGGTTTGAACTGAAAAATGAGGAGAAGAATATTATTATTATATTTTTATCTTTGTAATCATTATTAGAAAGAACAGTTTCTTAAATTAACTACTGATTTGATTTTTAGTTCGGCTCTGATCAGAAGTTAATATTAATTGTGTACTTGAAAATGGGATTTACAATTTCACGTGATAGATAATTTGGATGAAACTAAGAAAACTTCTTGATCTCTCTAGTTATTCCAGTTTTGTAAATTTGATTCTTTTTATTGTTCTTTCAGAATAAAGTTTGTTTTTGTTGTATAAAATTATTACCTTTCAACCGTCAAAAATCCACTGCTGGTTTATAATGCTTTATCTTTCTTCCTGTAGTTATTTACAGCGTATTTTACTGAAATCTTTTTCATCACGATTTTCCATTAAAAGATGAATGTACTTTTAAAACAATTAATGACTAGGTTTCGTTTACGATTTTTTTCATTGGCTTTGTTTTTCACGTGTTTAACAGTGGGCTGATAAAATGACGTGTCATCGATTTTTGTTTTATAATTGTTAAAACATCTGTTGGGATAGCTGTTTGTAATATTGTTATCCTCCCCAAGACTGCATGCTGTTAAAGAATATTCTACTCCATATACCCCCCCCCCTTCTTTTAACTCATCGCTCAGCAGACGAAGAACATAATCTATTTGTGGG